TTTTTTTGTGGCGGAGTTTCGCTCTTGTTACCCAGGCTGGAGTGCAATGGCGCGATCTCGGCTCACCGCAACCTCCGCCTCCTGGATTCAGGCAATTCTCCTGCCTCAGCCTCCTGAGTAGCCTGGATTACAGGCACGAGCCACCATGCCCAGCTAATTTTTTGTATTTTTTAGTAAAGACGGGGTTTCACCATGTTGACCAGGATGGTCTCGATCTCTTGATCTCGTGATCCACCCGCCTTGCCTCCCAAAGTGCTGGGATTACAGGCGTGAGCCACCGCGCCCGGCCAAACCTAGTATGACTCTTAATACCAAAACCCAGAATATCCAAAAAAAAAAAAAAAAAAAAAAAAGGGAGAGAGAAAACTACACACCAATATCTCTCATGAACTGAGACCCCAAAATCTTCAATAAATTAGCAAACTGAAGGCAGCAATGTATAAAAATAATTATATCCGTAGACCAAGTGGGAATATCCCAGGTATGTAAGGCTGGTTCAACTTTCAAAAATCAATATTATCCATCATGTCAACTAGCTAAGAAAGAAAAATTACATAATCACATCAATTGGCACAGAAAAAGCAACTGGCAGAATCCACCACCCATTCATCATAAAAACTCTCGGCAAAGTAGAAGTAGGTGGGAATTTCCTCGGCTTGACAAACAGAGTCTACAATAAAACTGACATCTATCATCATGCTTAATGGTGAGAGACTGAACACTGTCCGCAGAGGTCAAGGGCAAGGCAAAGATGTCCTTTCACACAATCCTTTCCAACAAAGTACTGGACATTCCAGCCAGTGCAATAAGGCAAGAAAAAACCCAAAAGCATACAGGTTAGAAAGGGAGAAGTAAAGCACCTGAGACAGGACCTGGTGCTTTAATCCGATTCCAAAAGAAGTCTCAAAAATGTCTCCTCAGTTTTGACCTGTTGTACTCATTGTTGTAAGAAATGTAATAAAGGCAGCCTCTGGAGAGCAGATCTAAAGCACAATATTTATATACACAAAGTACAGTATATTGGCTTAAAACAAGCTCAAGCTCGTAGCCCTCTAAGTCTGAGAGGGCGCCCTAGACTTTGCAGCTGCACTTACTTTCTGGCTGACACTCTCGGAACGCACTTGTATATGTGGCCTGACCCACAACTTTCTGCATAAATTCATTCTTCCCATTTGGCTTCTCTCTCCACATGAACCCAATCAAGTGCAGTTGACATTTGGCAATACTATGTTGGGAGAATCAGGGAATGGTAATGATGACGACAGTAACAATGACAACTACACAATGATCTCTCTCATACACACACACACACACACACACGCATGCAGATATACATGCATATGTGCTGCACATGCACACACACACATGCATGCAAACACACAGATATACCCCACATACACACAGATACCCCCACAGACAGACAACAGGACACACACACAACCCCCCCCCACAAATGTAGACACATGCCCCCACTGCCACACAGGCATGAATATATACATGTATACATGCCACACATGCATGCACAGATGCACAGACACACGTACACACATACAGATACACCCCGCCACACACGGCTACCCCCACAGACATACCACACACACCATACATGCCCCCCACATACATGCAGCTATAAATACATGCCATACATACATGCACAGATGCACAGACACACGTGCACACAGATACACCTGACATACATGAATACCCCCACAGGCATACCACAGAACACACACCATACATGCCCTCCACATACATGCAGATGTACATGAATACATGCCACACATGTATGCACAGATGCACAGACAGATGCACACACACAGATACACCCACATACACAAACATGGATAACCCCCCCAGACATGCTACAGAACACACACTACACATGCCCCCCCACAGGCACATCACAAATACATGCAGATATACATGAATACATGTCACACACACAGCCTGTAAGCATACAGATATACCCCACCTATACACACACAGATACTTCCCCACACACACATACACAAGCATACAGACCCCTCCCACCCACATCAATTACTATGTTCCAGGCATTGTTCTAAGCATGTGTGTATCTGACCTCATTCAGTTCTCCTGACTACTCCATTGGTGGGCACTACTGCCCCCCCACACTTGATGGAAGACAAGACTGAGGAATGGTGAGGGTAAGCCACCTGCGCAGGGCGAGGAGCAGCTAAGCGGTGAGCTTAGCAGAGCCAAGGGGTGAGCAAGGCAGTGCTGCTCCAGGGTCTGCGCTCAGCAGCCTGAGCCATGGTGAGTTCAGAACATCTCTCTGGAAAAGGTATAAAGTAGTATTTTTATACACAAGTGATTTTAAACTAGAAAAGCAAATTGTGTCCACAAAGCATTTACCTAGAAGACGCACTGGTGCCCGCCTGTATGAGGGTCGGCATGACAGCCATGAAGAGCCCGAGCTGCACGTCCTGCGTCACCAGCATGCCGAGGAGCACCGTGCTGTAGTCAATGTCGCCTGCAGTGGTGGGGGAAAGGCAGTGAAGACAGGTCTATAGCAACTCAAAGTAGCCAAAATCAAGATGCTGCCATTGTGCACACTTCCAAAATAACTCAAACGATTTTGGCACTTTACATTTTTAAGAATAGACTTTAAAATCTCTTTGAGAACAAACACTGAGGGATTTTAAGATTAAAAATCTTGTAAAGTAAGTCACCAAAATACCTTACTTCTACTACTTACTTGTTATTTATATAATTATGGAAAAACCTCATGACAAAAAGATGACATGGCAAACAAGATGATGGACAATCACACCAATTTCACTGCGTCCCAGAAACACACGAAGAAGCCTTCGCTTCTTACCTTTATAACTTCCCTGAGCTACTGCAGAAGGCCTGACTCAGGCTCCTCTGGTCATGTGGTGTGTTCCACATGTGTAGACCTACGCAAGCCACTGCACAGAATGAGCCTTCTCTGTGTGGCCAACCCAGACGTGGTGTCCAAATGTGCAGACCCATCCAAGCCACCACACGGAATGAGCCTTCATTGTGACACCAAGCAGGCTCAGTAGACAAACACTAGCTCATGAGGGCAGAACAGCAGTAGCCATGACTAGCTGAAGAGACTAAATAACAACTCGGGAAAGAAGAAAAGAAAATGATAAAACACTTTTCATGAATTCAGTAACTTGCACAAGCCTCCAACGATCCCCATTTTCAACACAGTTCATAGAGTTCTGGCTATGAACTCTAGTAAACATGCTTCTAAAAATTAAATTGTCATTCCCCAATCTCACCCTAAACAAGGTATTTTGTCTTAAAACAAAAGAAAAAACAAAACAAAACAAAAAACAGCCGGGTATGGTGGCTCACTTTGGGAGGCTGAGGTGGGTGGATCACCTAAGGTCAGGAGTTAGAGACCAGCCTGACCAACATGGTGAAACCCCATCTCTACTAAAAATACAAAAATATGCCAGGTGTAGTGGTGGGCACCTATAATCCCAGCTACTTGGGAGGCTGGAGCAGGAGAATTGCTTCATCCTAGGAGGCAGAGGCTGCAATGAGCCAAGACCGTGCCATTGCACTCCAGGGTAGGCAACAAGAGCGAGACTTCGTCTAAAAAAAAGAAATAATAATAATAATAATAATAAAGCTACTGCTATTAACAGATTTTTAAAGACCAATCTGATAGAAAAGGCTTATTTTTAAAAAGTAGCAGAACCACACAAAACCCCCTCCATGCCATCAAAAATCTCTTTCTGGACAGAAGTTCAGGTAATCATTTTAGAAGGCTTGATTTACTTATTACACAAAATTAAATTTTCGGTGAACAAAGTATCTTGGTCTAGAATTTTAAAACAGTCTGAACAGATCACGTCAGGCTGTTGTGGCTACAGCTTTGTGCCTTTTAGGGTTACATGATTCAGAGATCATAAAAACTGCCTCCCAACTAACACTGTCTGTGCCGACGCTTCGTAAATTGGGGATTTTCACCATAAGCCTTGCTGGGGCTCGTGCTCACCACACCTCCCTTCATCTCGCAGCCTTTGCAAGACGGGAGGGAGACTGAGACGAGAGTTTGAGCTACCCCCATCTTCTGCAGGCAACACATTCACACCTGCGCCCCTTCTATTTAAAAAAACAAAATCCCTCACTACATTTCACTTTTCAGACACAGCCTTTGATGGTATTACTGCCAGCATTTTGGAACTGTTTTTAGTATTTTGTTCTCTTCCTTTGCACCAATCACAGTGAACTGGCTTAAATCAACAGGCATTCAGCTGCCGTCCGCTAGACCATGCAGCACAGACTCTGCAGAGACCAGGTAGGTCTTCACCACAGTCCCCGTGCAGAACCCCAAGTCCATACCCACAGGGCCTGCGCAGGAAACCTTTGCTGGCAGGGAGTTCCTGGGGCTGCAGGAGAAGCCAAGTGCTGGGAGCCGGGACAGCACCGAACTTCGGCAGTGCAGTCAGGTGAGAGGGAGGTGATTATTCCCTGAGACAGCGCAGCTTCTCCAATTTCTCAGTGCTTTTACCATTGTCATCTTTCTGAAATTTGCACTTGTTTTTTTTGCTTATCAGTACAACCATTTTAATTTTTTCCTCTTTTCCATTCCTTTTATTAAAGTTTAAATATACAGAAAACAAGGAGTATATCAAATGCTCACATACCCACTAAGGAATTTTGCTGAATTTTAAACCTGTGACACATTTGCTTCCAATTTTGAAAGAAACAAAGTCCTAAGAGTGCCACCAAGGAGCGCTGTAAACCCCTTGCCACTGGGACCCTCTTTCCTGCACCCACACTCCCCACCTGACCTTATCCTTAAAGGTCATCATCCCTTGAATGCACTTCTGCTTAATGTAACATTACAGATTTGGAAACAATGCTGGGCTCATTATTTTCTCATATTAAACTTCACAGAATCAACATTTCTGCAACTTGCTGTCTTTGACCACGACTATATCTGAAAACCATCCATGCTGGTGCACAAAGCTCTGATTTATTTTCAGAACTGTGGCAGAGTAGACGACAATTTATCCATTCATCTCCTGACGGACATTCAGGAGTTCCATTTATCCACTAGTATAAAAATTGCTGCATGAATATTCTAGCACATTGTCGGGGAAACCTCTTTTCCCCTCGCTTGCATTTTCACAAGAAGGGAATGTCTCCCTACCACTCCTGGCCTCTTGCCTGGTCCCACCTACTTCACTCCCAGAGAGACAAGAGCCCTCTTCCTGGGAACGGATAGAGCCCCTCTTCCTTTGGTAAAGCAGCCAGCCACGGCTCCTGGTCTCGAGTGTCTCTCGCAGACCTGAGTTCCACAGGGCAGGCCCTGCCCACAGAGGCCTCTGGATGCCAGTGCTGCATGTGGCTGGGTGGTGAGAGTCTTACTCTGAGGTTAAACATGAGGCCTAAGCAGCTCATCACTGCCAGGCATGCAACCCACACCTTCTTCATGATCCAGCTGCCTCCTCTGTTCCTCTATGAGTTTTCAGCACAGGCAAGGCAGAGTGGAGTTATACATTTACTGGACCCCTCTGAGGATTTAGGCCCCAGTATCACATGAATTGGCTAGATATCCTGAGAAATAAAAAGTAACAGAATTTGGACCAAAATCCACGTAGGACTGAGGCTTCTGGTGTGGTCAAAGTTGATACCTTTAAGCTCCGGTGGTACAGTCTTAAGTCTGGGCTATACAGGAATTTCTTTTTCTTATTCTTCTTTTTTTTGAGATGGAGTCTCACTCTGTGGCCCAGGCTGGAGTGCAGTGGCGTGAACTTGATTCACTAGAACCTCTGCCTCTGGGTTCAAGCAATTCTTGTGCCTCAGCCTCCTGAGTAGCTGGGACTACAGAACACACCACCACGCCCGGCTAATTTTTGTATTTTCAGTAGAGACAGGGTTTCACCATGTTGGCCAGGATGGTCTTGAACTCCTGACCTTAGTTGATCTGCCTGGCTCAGCCTCCCAAAGTGCTAGGATTACAGGCATGAACCACCGTGCCTGACGATCTATAGGAATTTCTAATAAAATTTCAAACATATGCAAAAGTAGAAACAGAAATACAGTGGATGTCAAGGAACAGATAATCCAGTTTCCATGATCAAGTAGAATAACCTTGCTTCATATGCTAACCTCCACTGTACCCTGAGGGAAGCCCCAGACATCCTCTCAACCACACATCTCAGGGTGCCTCTCTAAGAGATAAGGCTGGTGTCCAAATCGGAAAGGAAGAATTAAATGATCCTGTAAGCAGACGGGATTATCTTAAATGTAGAAAATCCTAAATATTTCACACACAAAATTCTGTTAGAATAAACCAAGTCACAAAGTTGCAGGGCACAAAATCAACACACAAAAGTCAGCTGCATTTCTATATACTAAAAATGAACAATCTGAAAAGGAGATTAAGAAAACAATTCCATTTACAACAGGTCAAAAAGAATAAAACACTTAGGACAAAGTTAACCAAGGAGGCAAAACAGTTATACACTGAAAACTTCAAAGCGCTGCTGAAAGAAATGAAAGGCACGCTTAAGCAGGGTCTCTTGTATTCATGGACTGGAAGACTTAATATTGTTTAGATGTCAACACTACCCAAATTACAACTACAAATCCAATGCAATTCCTATCAGAATCCCAACAATGTTTTCAGAAGAAACAGAAAAACCTATCTTAAAATTTATACAGAATCTCAAGTGACCCCAAACAGCCAAAATAGTCTTGAACGAAGTTAGTTGGAGGATTCACACTTCCTGGTCTCAAAGCTTACTACAAAACTATAGAAATAAAACAGTAGCATTTGGAAATTATAAACTGCTTTTCCACTTTTTAGTGGTTACCTGGTTTCAAAAACAATTATTATAAAATACTTTGGATCAAGAAAAAAGGTACAAAGCATCATGTCATCAGTGACCAGAGCCATGACTCAGCTTCTGACAGAAATGTCACAAGCGGCTGCTGTCCTGCCTCCCTCTCTGATCGCACACCTTCCCCGTCTCTGGCAGAAGCACCCTGACGTATCTGTCATTGTCAAACACTTCTGGCTTTTAGTGTAAAAGTTTGCACGTATGTAAAGTTCAGACTTTATATAAATACGTTGTATTCTACATCTTATATTTTTCCTTCTATACTACAGGAGTAATTCACATTAGCTTCCGCAGCATTCCAGTGTATGAATACACCTTAACTGTCCAGCATGTTACTGAATATCCAGTTAATCAATTTTTTGCAATGAAAAATAATGCTGTTGGCCAGGCACAGTGGCTCACGCCTGTAACCCGAGCACTTTGGGAGGCCGAGGCAGGCAGATCACAAGGTCAGGAGTTCGAAACTTGTCTGACCAGCATAGTGAAATCCCATCTCTACTAAAAATACAAAAAACTAGCTGGGCTCGGTGGCGGGGTCCTATAATCCCAGTTACTTGGAAGGCTGAGGCAGGAGAATCACGTGAACTTGGCAGGTGGAGGTTGCAGTGAGCCAAGATCGTGCCACTGCACTCCAGCC